TTATGTTAAAGTTTTATTAAAATGCGATTTCTAGGGTATACCGACAAAAATACGATATTTTAAATAACAGCATTTTAAAGAACATACTTCATTTAACATACCCTGGAAATTTCATAAAAATCCAACAATTTTTGTAAAAGTTGCATCTTAAAATTTAGCACCCGAGTGCTAAGATTATACGTTTTTGGAGCTCTGTCACTTCAACAAAAATAATCCGATTGATATGAAATTATCAGGGTACCTATACTAACAAATGTACTCTTTAATAAAATTAGCAACTATGTCGTACTTTTATAGGTATACCATTAAACTAGGGATGTATCCGATACCTATACCGGTACCGATATATCAGCGATATTTTAATTTTTCCGATATATCGGTATCGGCGATATTAATTTTCTGTATCGTCGATATTTTTTTTTTTAATTTTGCGCCTAAATAAATAGATGTATGCACTTGAAAAGGTACAAAACTGATTATTACCTAATAAAGTTTTTTAAATGTCTTTAAAAGTTAAATAGTAGTTAATTTTTAAAACCATAAAATTAACAGCTTAATGTTAAACAATAAAACCGGCCATTATTTACTTGCTCGTTAAAAATCAAATTTTTTAATAAATCAAATATCGCAAGCGCCCGCTCTTTCTAAGGACTGCGGAATATTCAAATGTGTTTGTTTTGACTAGCCCTGTATCGGTATATCGATATCGGAGATACCTTTGTATAAATATCGGTATCGTATCGGCAAAAACCTACATTAAACCACTACTAAAAAGTAGTGGTGCTAAACTATTAAAATTCGCGTAAAATGGTTTTGAAGCTTGAAAATTCTATCAAATTAATTTCTTTATTAAAACTTTTTGTCTCGAAAGCAACCTTTATTTGCCATTTGTATCATTTTTTATTTATACATGACATTTATAAGTTTGTTATACCAACAACTTTTTAAAAGGTGTATTTTAACTTTTTGAATGGCCCATTACGATAAAACTTCGTTGTCAACTGGTTCATATTTTGCGATATGATCATTTTTTTTGTTTTTATCTGCAGGTGTATTTTTTTGTCCGTTGAAGTAAATAAAAGCGATAGAAAGGTTTGAATATCAACATTTTACGAGAATTAAATGGTCCGCAAATATTTGACGGTTATAGATAAGGATTTAATAAATATATTTATAAGGAAAAACATTTTGAGTGCCTAGTCCGTTGTTTTTTGACACGCCACTGGTTAACCATCATTTTTTGCCCATTGTAAACCAGTCTTACACCCTAATTTTGTTTCGTTCCTCTCCCTATCCGGCAGAGAAGCGCTGTGAAATGAATTCGGTGGACTTATATTAAACACTCGGGTTTTTAAGGTTTTTCAGTTGTCACCTTGTGTACACTTTATAGTTCCAAGAATGTTGCATTAAATTTTATTACAGTGTAATAAAAGTTTTACCTTATTATTTTCTAAAATATCTACCTCCTTGTAAAGTCTACTTATTTAATTACCTAAAAGCTCGGTACATTATTTATTATTATTGTTATTAGTTTGTCGATATATTCATACTCGTTTTTATCAGATTTTTTCGGGGTTCACCTTAGTAAATTTATGTAAATATGCATGCGTAATTGTGCATAAATTAAAAGATTGTCACAATAAATAAGAAAAAATAACAACAGGTATTGGATTAGATTATGTTTTGTTACCTGATGTGTATATTTTAGATTTTATCTGGGAATTTATTTCATATTTTACTGAAATTAAATCCCATAATATTTGTATGTAGACAATACAATTTATTAATATTAGGAACCAATGAAATGCCAGTATTCCATAGAGCATTTTATTACAGCGACAATATTTTTGTATATTTCATATACGTTTTCAATTGAGAAAGTGGCAGTCTTCAACTGTGGAGAAAATTAATCTCTTTCTTCACGGGTTACTCTCCAATGAGACGACGAGATTTTAATTTTCTCCACGGTAGTATTTACCATCACACGTGACGATTATTTTCTTAAAAATTAATTGATCTGACATTTGTCATCGAATCTGTGGTTATAGTAATTACACAAAATTGTCCTAAATTCTTTAATAAAATTGGAAAAAGTATAATGTTTAACTCTTAAGAAATGGACCACTTTCTCAATCGTTGAACAATATACTATTATCACCTTGTTTGCACGGTGCTAAGGATTTTGTCGCTTTTCTTAATTTGACATTTGTTGACATTTAAATCCTGTGTTTGTTATATAATGAAAATAATGAATTCTAAAGCTCCAAAAGATTAATGGAGTAGTGTAAACGATAAAGAAATTGAGGCAAGTTTGAATCAAAGATGTTTATTAAGTCTTTTTATATTTTAAAAGTACCAAATTTTAATTTAAAATGTCAAACTAACAATCCTAAGATTCATTATATTTACTCGCTAAATAGGTATAACTCGTGTTATGATTAATAATAAATAATTAATAAATAAATTTTTGACTTTTCACGAAAACTTGGGGGTTTGACGTATTATTTAACAAACCACCCAGTTTGAGTTAAAATTCCAATTATGGGTGATAATAAAAAGGATGAGTCGAGTTATATCTAAAATAAAGACTATTATATAACATATAACAAACAACGGTATTTGAAAGAGTGTGCTTTATTTAATACACACTAGAAATTTCTTAAATATCCAACAATTTTTGTAAAAGATACATATCAAAAGTTTTTGAAAAACTTAGCACCCCAGTGCTAAAATAAATTGATTTTGGAGCTCTGCAACTTAATAGTCTGATTTTTATGAAATGGGTATATTAACTAAAATGTACTTTTTGCACAAAATTAACAAAAATGTATTTTTATCGGTATTCCATAAAACCATGAACTATGAAAGTAATTCGCGTAAAATGGTTTGGAAGCTTAAAAATCATACCAAATTATCTAATTTAGTAAGCTTTTAAAATTCTAAACACTTAAATTAGTAATTAAAAATCACTAAAACTCATTTATTACAAATCAAACAAATTTTAAATCATAAAATATACCTGTCCAGAAAATAATTCCTATACCTCACCCTCGAGCGAAAAATGCACCCCTTCCCTTTTTATTTGCTACGGCACTGGCGGACCGTAGTTTTACGACAGTGTAAAACGGGCCTACCGACAGCCCGCTACGATACACTGTGTTTAGTTAGTTTAGTAGTGTTAGTCTCAGGGCCTAACCTTAATAAAATGGTCCTTTGAACCGGATAGAAGTTAAAAATAGTAACATTTGTGCGTTTCTTCGGATTTCTTTTGTGATTTGGGTTCAAGTATGTGTATTTTTGGATTATATCAACGAGCATGTGCCTCCATCCCTCCAACAGGTATTTAAAATAATAACAAAGAAGTAATTAGTACATATAATTAAATTTCATGAATTAAACAAGCCTTTTTAATTGTTGTTAGTTAAGATAATATTAATTTAGAGACACAGTCACTTAAAATAGTGAGTAAATTTGGGATATACGAGGCCCTAATGTTTATAAAATGGCCGTTCATAAAAAAGGTTCCAAACTTATAAGGGTGTATTGTTAGACCAGGCAGGCCAAAATCAACATCCTTAGGGTAATACAATCTATAAAACGTGCACTCATTTTATATTACATCTTTAAATATTTAAGGAAAGCCTACTTATATTACATGACTTCTAGGAATTTTATTTCTATAATTACAATTTAAAAATTCCTCCACAAGAAAAACATTAAACGCTTCTCTCAATCAAAGTAAAATTAGAAAAAAATATATAAGCGTCGATCTCTACAAAGTGGCCTTGAACTAGATTTGCATTTACGTAAATTCATTGATAAAAACGTGACGATTTATACGGTTTAATAAACATAATTGTTTTTTTACGTTTCATGTAATTTTACGTCAATATTTTCGGTATTTTAACAATCGCTATTTTTAGATTCTTTACATTGCGTATGTAGATGTTATACAGGGCGTCCTAAATAATAACGACAAAAATGCATAAGGGGTAGTTTAAGCTGTACTTCAAGTTTTGGTCTATATCTAAAAACTATCTAGTTATTTAGATATATTAGGTATTATGTTTAATTTGGATATTTTAAAGATAAATGCTATTTTTATATTGCCTTTAAAGTACAAGATTTGGCCCATATCTATATTGAATTTTGGATATATTATACAATAATATTGTGTTTATTATGTCTTCAAATATTTACTCTATATTATAGGCCATAACACCACGTTTTAGTGTGAATCCAGATCTGTACTTAATGTTTTTGGATATGTTCTAAACAAAATTTGTTAATGTTAAGTTTATATTTTTTTCCAAATTTAAATGTTTTATCTCGAATATCTTAAAATAGACGTTTGTCTCTAAATCCAAAGCTGTTTTTGGCCCTTTACGTTGTCTCCAAATTTAAATTATTTATCTCGACTAGTTCAGAAGATATACAGGCATACCCATACACCCTGCCTTACATTTTGGAATACATTTATTAATAATGGCTCCTGATAGGATACTCCTTTGTTAACGCGTATACCAAGATTGAACTTTTCAGCATTACAATTGTTGGTAATACATTTTAATTAGCCACTCCATGTGTCAAATTTATTTAACAAATTTGATATCTCAAAAACAATTAAAGAAACGAAAACAATTCAAAATGCAAAATATTACGTGGAGTTTAAAAATGCAATAATATTTATAGGGTTGTATTTGAAAAAACAAAGTTAATGTCACTTCCGGTTCAACCGTAAAATAGATCACATCGCGGTATAGCTGCAACCAAAATTCCAGATTGATTTCTCTTTTTGTTGTCTATAAATCCATAATTTTGTTCTAAGAATCAGTTAGGTGAATCACCCTGTAGACCTATTTCCACGTTTGTCTCTAAATCAATTGGTTTTGGGCCTATATCTTCTGAACTAGAAAAGCTAGAATGTATCTGGATAATATTATGTTAGAAAAAACCTTTCTTAACAATATTTTCTAAAACTTTGTTTATTTTTGTTACAGTGGGGTGGCAGTTTTGAGTTGCACCGACTGCAGCGGCAGTAGCACTGCGTCCAGCGACATCACCGACCCTGGATCTCCGTTCAGCACCGGGTCAAATCATTCCGAGGATTCGGGGGCGGGGGGGACGCATAAAATGCCCCCTGCGAATTCGTCCCCCGACCACGGCAGCCACTGGCCCTGGACGACCACAAGTGCTACTACAGTTGCGCCTCCGGCTGTCAAAAGAGCCCTGGTTAAGGAGCTGACGGCAAGCAAGCGTTTGAAAAAGCAAGAGGATACAGTGCCTAGTCCCAGTGATAAAATAATAGTAAATAATAATAACATTCAGCAGAAATTATTACTTAATAATAGTAGTAGTAGTAAGAAAGTGATAGAAGCCACTGCCAAGTTGCAACACCAAGGAAAAATAACGGAATATTTCAAGTCTCAAATAAAAGCGAATGTGATCAAAGAGATGAAGCCCACCCCCAAAATAACAACAAATCTAGTCGACAAAAATCGCAAGCCCAAACCTAGAACAATCCCGCGCAAAATCCTCCCCGCCCCTAGCAAAATCCCCACGGAAAAAGTCCACGTCCCCAACCTTCCCAACCTAGGAAACTTCACCAACCACGTGACCCTCACCGCGGTGAGTTTCCCTTCCAATTTGGCGTATATCCACACAAAGTCCCCAAAACCTCCCGACAGCCTGTTCGTTCCTCAGTTCACAAACAAATTGAACACCATACCTTGCCTGAACGTTCTACAACCCATGCAGAAGATAGCCACGTTGAACAATTTTAATTTAGGCGTGAAACTCAACGCGACAATGGTGCCAATTGTGAAACTAAACACCCTGCATAACCCCCCGATGGCTTCGGTACCGTTCAGCATCGAAACTGCTGTACCAACCGTTCTCTCCGCAAAACCTAAAGTCCCCGAAGTTAACAACACTAACATTAGTCTTAAGGCTTCGAATAACATCGTCAAACATTTACCAGTTAGCGTGGTAGATAATCAGTGTAGAAATGAAGAAAAGGAGGAACCTTATAGAACCGAAGAGAGTCAGTGCAAAGACAACCTTAAACCTCCCAGTCCTGACTCTGATAGTGGAATATCTTCATCACCGAAAAACCTATTGGAAATTAGTATCAAAGATGACGAAGCTATGGTTTTTCCAGAACAAAAATCGCCCATATTATCAAAACCCAAAATAATAAGGTTTCCTTGCAAAAGGGATCCCAAGGAAGAATTAAGAAAGGTTTCGAAGGTTCTGCAAGTGTCTCAGGATGGTGTTTGTCGATGGAAGGAATGTCTTAGTTCATTTAGCACCAGTGGGGCCTTATTAGACCATTTACAAGTAAGTAAAACATCTTTGAAATGTAACTTTATATTGGGACGGGCTTTTTAGGGTATACCGACAAAAACACGCCATTTTTATGACATATTTAAACAGGCCATCAGTTAATGGACGGAAAACAAAATACATTAACACTTGTAAGAGTTACAGAGCTTCAAACCATATGAGACTACATAAGTCTTAGAAATCTATAACTTCTACAAATTTGCTATTTTGATGAAATAAAAGTTTTAGGCCATAAAACTTTAATCCAAATATCAAAATTTAGGGTATACTAACCTAAATACGCTTTTAACATTGACATTAAAAGACTTTTAGAAAATCAGCTGACAAAAAGTTTGTTTTGCTAAATTCTTGCTAATTAAAAGGAAATATTTAGTTTTGAACTATGTAACAAACGCTCTTTTAAATGCCATAATCATTTTAACATAAGACAATATTTATTTTTGGCCCAATTTATCACATAATTTCCAATCACTTTGAGAATGATTTTATATAATATTTAACATTTGTTTTTGTTTTAGATAAAACATGTGATATCTCAGACGGACCAAGAGCACTACGTGTGCTTCTGGACGGGCTGTAAGGTGCACGGTCGCACCTCCTGCTCTAGATCATGGTTGGAAAGGCACGTTTTAGCGCACGCCGGTACGAAACCGTTTAGGTGCATAGTCGATGGTTGCGGTCAACGATTTAATTCGCAGGTAGGTGTTTTGATACCTTTTTCGATTGCGTGGTGTGCGAAAAGGGTAATGTACCCATTAGGAAAATAAGAAGATGTACGAGTATATACAGGGTTTTAAGGAAATATGTTTGTTTTAGATTATGTTAGAGAGGCACGTAAATGGGCACTTTAACACCGATGGAACACCTAACACTAGTGCTAAGAAAACTACGGAAAATGGTCCGGCAAAAATGTTCAAAAGGAATGGGAAAAAGATCAGGTTTAGGAGGCAACCTTGGTCAGGTAAGATATCAACAAAAATACTTAATTTTCTGGGGGTATACCAACAATAATATTACTTTTTTAATAAAATTATTCAAAAGATAATTTAATTTAGTATGCCCTTAGATTTAATAATAAAACTGTAGAAGTTAAATTTTGTTACATTTTTGAGACCAAAGTGTCCACCTTTTTTTAATGCTAAGTCAAACTACGACAAATGTGTCAATGAGTTTTTATTGATTTTTTTGGAAAGTAACAATAATTATAAAAATCTAGATAATAACCATTTGTTTGAACAAAAAAACACCTTTAAATTATTTTTCGAAATATCGCTCCGTTTTCATTATTTTTAGCACCTAAGAAGTTTGAAACATAAAACAAAATGTTACGCAATTTTTTTGAAAGTTGTAAAATATTTTCTCTTTACGATAAATATATTCTAAAAATAATATTTGCAAATAAAAATAAAATAAAACAAATAATAATAAAAGTTATTTAAACAATATCAATTATTCATACACTTACCGGTAAAAAACCGGCCACCAGATATTGGCAACAATTTAAATGTTGATTTCCCCGCTCATCCGATTATGATGATTTAAAAAAAAAATTAAGTTCCGTAACGATGCTGCGGTAGATTTTTATTTTAGGATATGCAGGGTGCAAAAGTGAGAAGTTTATTGCCTGAAATTTGTGAAAGCCTGTGGGGATCATCAAAAATAACAGCGGATATCAATTAAAATCATACTCTAGTTCCTATCTTTTTTGAACATTTTGGTTTTTTTCACGTTATTCAGACTAATTCACTAATAAGAGTCGTTAACGTTAGCCACTAGGATCAGTGGTTATAGACCAATCCGGCCAATCAGACGGATTGAATATAACGATAACCACTAATTCTAGTGGCTAACGTTAACGACTAATGTTAGTGAATTGGCCTGATTATCTCTGTTAATAAAACAGTTTTAAAGGCAACTCCTTGATGATTTTTTTTGAACTTTTGTATGACTCTTCAGTGACGATTCTGATTTAAATTTGAGCATATACAGAGTGCGAAATTTGTGGCACTCTGTGGAACGTATTAGCAACAACAGCGGATGTCAATTGAAATTTTACTGTGGCCCTATCTTGTCTGAACATTTTGATTTTTAATTCGCGTTATTATCTTTGTTATGTAAAGAGAAATAAGTGTAAAGTCGATATACACTGGAACGGATGTCAGTTATTTTGAAATAAGATAGTAAAAGTTGTCAAACGTTATGTGTCTAATACGAACACTTTATCCGAGGCGTTGACTTAAATACATAAAAAAAAACAAAATAAAAGAAAAGATAGGATTATAGGACTTTAATTAACAACCGCTGTTATTGCTGATGCACAAATTTCGGGAAAAAACTTCTTATTTTTGAACCCTGGATATGCTCAAATTAATAAATAAATAAAATTGTTTACCATAGCATTGTAACTGAAGAATCAACCTATAATTAAAAAAATATCAAAATCAGATGAGCGGTTCGCGAGGAAATCAACATTAAAATCGTGGCCGTTTTTTTTGCCGGTGAGTGTAGTATATTTTCTGGGCCCACTATTGCAGTGAAAATTTTATAAAACGTACTCTACACTGTTATTTTCGTGATCGAAAAAAAGGTAATTTCTACTCGCATTTTTTGTTGCGCAGTGCATTTTGGCGCCCACCCTGAAATGTCTTCTAAAAACCTCTGTAACTCCTTCAATTGTTATCGTCATTTTAAGGATATACTAAAAAACACGCTTTTTAATCCACACTAATCAAACATTTATTTTAGCGAGGATGTTTGACTTTATCGACAACGGTATCATGGAGGGTCTGCAGCATAAGCTACTGACAATGACGAATCGCAGAACATTGGGTAAAATTGGCAATGCCGGCGACACCGTGAACCTACAAAGCCAAATAATGGCGCGAAGAACTGACACGGATGGCAGTATAAAGATTCTGGTGCGATGGCACCCCCGTGACGTGTAAGTAGTCTAATAAACAGCTTAAGTGACAAAAAATACGGGTCTTTATTTATTTCTAGGATCCTTGACGAGTGGGTGTGTGAAAATGAGTACAAAACGACCAAATTGGTGCCGATACCGGTTTTAGACTCCTTCGCCAAAGACGCACTCAAACCTTCGTTGTTCCCCGAACCCCACGACTCCCAAAACGTCGTGTCCGGAGCGGGGAAGAGAAAAAAAAATCGCCGCAAATTTATTAATAATCAAACGTGATACAGCAATCTTTAAATTATAGATTCTAACTTAGCAGTTAATTAAGATGAGCCTTTGTAATATTAGACTTAAATTAAGCACATTTTGCCTGAAAGAGCTCTAAAACGGAATAAGTTTTGACGATGGTAGCCAAAATAAGTATATACTCCATTACAGTTTAATTTTCCGGGTGTACAGTAAAAAATACGGAATTTTTATGGGCCCATTTATTTATTTAGTTAGTATACCCTAAAAATTTCATCAAAATCCACCAACTCTTATAGAAGTTACAGACCTTTAAAGTTGAGCCTTAAGGTTAACCCCATGGTGCTAAGTTTTAAGGCCCTGTAACTTCCACAAAAATAATAGGATTTTAATTAAATTTTTGGAGAATATCAATAAAAGCACACTTTTTAAGAAGGCATTAACAGATTCACAAAAATTTTTAAATAATCGTTTTATTCGTTAGGGTGTTAACATACTTACTTTGGCGACTATATATGGACTGTCTCAAGTAGATTTGGGACACTCTGTACAGCGATAGCAAAGGTTCATGTTTGTGAATATGTAACTAGGATGTACTGTGTAAAAATTAGCAGAGATTGGCTTACAAAAATGGGAAAGAAAACGTTCTAAAACCCTGTGCAATTCCGGACTATTTTTTTACATTGTGCAATTGAAATTAATAATCAAAACATTCTAAAACAATTTTAGGACGTTTTCTTTTTTGTTAGCGATAGTTTTGACAAGTCTTTCATCCATGTGTATAGATTGTTTGATTGTGTAAAATAGCTAAAAAAAAGTATTGTATAGTATAACATAAGAAAGGACTTCGAAGGAGACCGATACGACCAGCGTTTAAAAAACACTGCCACTTAAGCAACCGCGTTTAAAACCTAGTTATTTTTTAACTAGTGTGTAATAATGGGTTCTTAATTTTTTTTAAACGACTTTATTAGTAATTAATCCATATTTATAGGGTTATATATTTGTGTGTTCAGCAATATTATAGGGCAATTTTTTTAACTTCAAGTTTGCCATTTTGGACCTAATTTTGCCCTGTATTATTTTGCACTATCCTAGGTAATTTTTTTAAAATTTTAACATTCCCAAAAATGTACTAAACAACATTAAAAGTCACTGCCAAAAGTACTGCCTAGAAAAGCCATGACAATTTTTTATTTAATTTGTTTTATTGAAAGAAATATAGTTAGTGCCATTCACTGCTTTTATCTTAATTTATCGTATTGAATTATAAAAAACATGGAGTGAATTTTACTGTTCAAAAATTTTGATCTCTACTGTTTAAATTACAGGACTTAAGGGGGGTTCCGCGTACAAATGTAAGGAAGCACCCTTAAGGATTTTCATGTTTCACGTCATTAATAGTACTTAATATCATCTAGATGAAAAGAAAACTAAATTTTATGTTATATTTTTATAGCTGTATTGTAGTTTACCCTAAAAATTTAATTTTTTTCATTTTTTTAAAGCTCTGTAAGTCCTATACCCTAAAAAATTATTAAAAATGGCCAAAATTTTAATTCAATTTTATGGAGCTCAACTAGGATTTTTTAAACCTCTAGCTCCTAAATTTTTGGGGTATACTAACAAAAGTATGCTGCTTTGAATTAAGTTATTTAGGCCCTAAAAACATGAACTCAAGATTTAAGCCCAGGTTTCTTGTAACTTCTGCTTCTACTTTTAGGGTATAATTCAGTGTTACCAGATTCTGTCAAAAAAAGACCGTACGTTTCGTTCGAATTTACCTTAATTACAAAAATGACTCAATGGACAATATTAAATAACGTCAACTTGACATAATTGCATTTATTTGCATTGTTTCATTGTGTCATTTTGTAATTAAGGTAAATTCGAACGAAACGTACGGTCCTTTTTTGACAGAATCTGGTAACACTGGTATAATTACTTTTTTTTGAAATTTAGTTTTCTTTATTCAGTTTCACATCATTTGTTGTATTTTTTTTAAGGACATAGACTGAAATAAATTACAAATTTTTTATTTATATTTTAGACTGACTTATACTTATTTGTTAAATAAATGCAATGATTTAGTAAAAAACACACAAAGTTATATATATTTTTTGGTTGCTCCTTAATTTTGTAAATAAATTGTGCATTTTTTGTACTTAGTTGTGTATTATAGCAACCAAATATAGAAAGAGGAAAATTGACTATTTTGATGAAATTTTCTATTTTTATTACATAAATTTTTTATAAACCGAAGGGTTTTTTAAATAATTAATGTCGATAAATTATTGTGATATATTCATTAAAATACAATTTGGCCTTATGTACATACGATTTTTGGATTTATTAATAATTAAATGTAATATATCAAGTTTTTTGGGTTTAAAACATAGTTTGTATCTACCATATTAATAATATAAAAATAAATACTAACTTTTGTAAACTATTCTTTTACCAAACGTTGCATTTAATAGAAAAAAGAGAATTTGAAAAAATTGAAGACTGTCGAAAAATTATATCATAACTAGTTTAGGTAATTATGTAATAAAAAACAAATTTAACATTGTGTTCAATTGTATATTTGTTTAGTTTAATTATTTTTTATGTAAGCCAATATTATTATTTTAAATACTTTTCGTTTAAAATGTTGGATATTGGAAAAGTATGAATGTTGTTGAAATGTAGAGGAATAGTTTAAAAGCGATTGATTATTGGTGTTAGTTAAAAATGAAACTAATAGAGTACCTATTTTAATGAAATGAAAAAGCTTTGTTTAGAAGTCTCTAAACATGTATACGTCTATAAATGGTAGATATGGATTTGTAGAAATGTGTTTGGAACAAGATTGACGATTTCCAATATACAGGGGCACACAAAATGATGATTCTACAGGGTGTTTTACTATTATTTCGTGTGTCCCTTCCTAAATGTTGTAAATAGTATTTAATTAAAAACATAAAACTTATAATTTGTTCAAAAAATCGAAATTTATGTCTTGATGAACAAATTCTACCTCACTAAACCTTTCCCCCCGATAAAATAGTTTAATGATAGTTTTTTTAAAATGTATTTAAGTTTAGGTAATTTAATTTTTTAGTCTTGTTTTTTATTTTGTATCAATTTTCAACTTTCTTGTTTGAATAAAAAAATTAAGACTGCTGCATGCAGTATATACGATATAAGTTTATTAAATGAATATTTTGGAACTGCATAATTTTTATTTATATAATTCGGCAAAAAGTTTTTAATGTATCTATTCTTATTCAGAATAAATATATATGTAAATAATTCAGATAAGTGTTTGATTTTTTTAAACCCATGGGATCAACCTGTATATAATTTCCTGTGTGGAGTTTAGTTACGTGCAATTTTCGATTTCAGTTTGCGACAACATTAAAATTTAACACCTCTTAGTCGATTCGAATTGCACTTTTTTAATGCAGCAGGAAATGGAAGTGTAATGTTACGAAATAAAAAGACTTTTGCAATACCTAGGGGTCAATATACATTTGTTTTGTGGCAACTTTTATGATTATATTATAGATTTTTTTTTATTATGTAAATAAGTAAAATATAAAAAATATCAAAGTAAAAATACAGTGTGTCTTAAAAATAGCACACCAACTGAATTTAAAAAACATAAGTAAAAGAAAATTAAATAAAACAAAATAAGGTTTAAAATTATAGAAAAATGCTTCAAAATACCACAAATCATAAAAAGCACAAAACATTTGCTGCCTTTAAAAAAGGGAGAGATTGAAGTTGAAATTTAGTATATTTTGGCGCCCAACGCGTTAGGCTTTTTATATACTTTAAGTCACGGGCTGAAGTTAGCAACAGTGGCTTTTATTATAAAATGGGGAAAAGTAAGAAAATTGAAATCGATTCGTCTCATTGGACAGTAACCGTGCAGAAAGAGATCAATTTTCTCCACAGTTTAAGACTTCTTAATTGAAAACGTGTCACTGGATATATAGGTGAAACTACTCTTGTAAAATCCAAAGAAAATTTGAATTAAATTTTTATTTTTTGGGGTTCAGCCCTGCTCGATAAAAGATTAATTTTGAACATAATTTCAATTTTGAAGAATCAAGTATGCCTTGGAAATATTAAAAAAAAACTATTTTTTGTGTAGGTAAAGAGCTTTTCATATGGGATATACGACAAAATATTACAAAAAAAGCTGTTTAGAATTAAATTTAGGAACCTATGCCAAATTTCAAAATTCTTGGCCAACTTTGTTTTTTTTTTAGTTCAGTTCCTTTCATATGAAATCGTATATCATAAATAAAAGTTGTTTAGAATCATACTTTAGGTCCATATACCAAATTTCAAAATTATTGTCCAAATTTTTATTTTTTTTTACTACCTAGATTTATACAAAAAGTACCTATAAAAACGTTGCCTGAAATCAAAATAAATAATAAAAGACGTAATTTTACCATTTTAATTCAAAATAAAATAAAATAAGGAACATTTGGTTTATTGCAACTGCGTACTCTATTGTAAAATAAGTAATTGGTTTGAAATGTGTTTTGGCGCTATGAATCACCAATTCATTCCAGTTGAATTCCTATTGGTAATTTCCAATGAAGTCAGCGGCTTGAATTGGAAAATAACAATAGAATCCAATAAAAAATAAGTAATTAGTTTTAATTGGTTTAAAATGTGTTTTGGCGCTACGAATCACAAATTCATTCCAGTTGAATTCCTATTAGTAATTTTCAATGAAGTGAGCGGCTTGAATTGGAAAATACCAATCCATGCCTATGCTTGTCTCTATTGGCTAAATCCAATAAAAATGCACATGGAATGAATTGGTAATGCATAGCGCCAAACCCATTCCAACCAATTAAAACCAGTTAATTTTTTAAAATTTGGATTAGAAAATAACTTCCAGTTTATTTTTCATTCAAAAATAATTTTAGATCCCAGAAGCATAACCGGGTAAAAACCAGAATTCATTTTTCACAGAATAGACAAAAAATGTATTGCTACTGAGTAATTTTATTTTTTTATTTTTTTTTTGTGATATATACAGTGTGTCGCATTTAAGATGAAGACACCCCCATATTTTCTCTATTTCAAGGAATAGAGATTTGAATTTTTTCACATTCATACATGTTGGTGGGTCACATTTTTTAAGATACTCAAATAAAATCTGAACTTTAAACTTGGCCTACTACGAATTCACAAACGGGACCAGTTGTCGATATTTTGCTTCGCGTTAGAAATATCGAAAAAAATTATTAGAAAAAGTTGTTCAGAATATTATTCTAACCTCGTATACCGATTTTTATAGCAAAATTCGCATTTTTTTATTTATTTTTATTGGTTTTATTATTGTTTTATACCATTTCCTTAATTTAATAAATTATAATTGATTTGTAATTTCCAAAAATTGTTTTAATTATTTATTTAACGGTCATAAACACTAGTTAGTATCAAATTATTACTTTCCATGGCTCCCTTATTATCAAACTAAAAAATGAACTTGTAATAATTTTGTGTGGACCAAAATAAAAAAAAGTTAAAAATGCGAATTTTGTTATAAAAATTGGTATATGGGGTTAGAATAATATTCTTAACAACTTTTTCCAATAACTTTTTTCAATATCTCTAACGCGAAGCAAAATATCTAGAACTGGCCCTGTTTGTGAATTTGTAGTAGGCCAAGTTTAAAGTTCAGATTTCAGTTGAGTAGCTTAAAAAATGTGACCCATCAACATGTATGAATGTGAAAAAATTCAAACCTTTATTCCTTCAAATAGCGAAAATATGAGGGTGTCTTCATCTTAAGTGCGACACACTGTATATGTATTGATACATATAACTTACTATCACAAAAAAGTAATACAAAATAAATAAAATTACTCGGTTATAATCATTTTTTGTCTTTCTTGCAAAGGATGTTTGTAGGCATGGTCGAAGTCGATATTGTTTATGTCAAATTTTTTATTTTGTCCGCTGTGACATTCTTACGCCATCGTCCCTAAACCTTACACATATAAACATTTTTTTAATATATAAGTACACTACTAACACTAGGCACTTAACACTGAAATCGACTAATAAAAAAAACCGCTAATAAATGGCGTCCAAAGACTTGTTGTTGTTTTTTCTTTATGATGGCGTCTTAACTAGTTGATTTTGCGCAGCTACACGAGAGCCCTCTTGCGATATTTGTATTGTATTGGGAATAACCAATTAGCAGAATTTTCGAATCTTACACTGGGAATGCCCAATTGAATTCAATTGGAAATTACCTACACTGTTCAAAATTAAGCCTTTTGAAATACCTAATCAGAATTAGTTAAGGAAAAATAAGGTAATATGCTTAAACGAGTAAAGCAATTTACCTTCTCGTTTATTAGGCAGAAACGAATGCCTTAGTTCTATGGTGTATTCACTAACTTCTAGATAAATATTCATACTTTACTTAATAAACTTTTCAAATTTAAAGAGATAGGCAATCTACCTAAATATTTAGTCAAAATCTCAATTACTTTTAGGTACCACAATTTTGCTTTTAATTTAGGTAATTCTTCTAAATTATTATGGCAAATTATTGAACTAATTTAGGTAAATTCCTTTAAATATTAGTGACTTACTTGAAATCGGCTACGATCGCTAATACCGACGTTTTAAGATAAATATTCGCGCCTATATTGTCCACCAGAATGCCAAAATCAACGAAAGCTTAAAGACCGCGTGGTGTGCTATTGATATAACAACATAGTTATCAATTATTGTGATATAAGTGAACATTTTGTATACAACAGTGCTA